CAGCGGGCAAAGTCTGGGATGAACTTGCGGTAGTAGTTGGCAAAACCCATGAATCTTTGAATGTCTTTTTTGCTCATGGGGGACTTTTATTTTAACACCGCGGAGACTTTAGCGGGGTCCATGGAAATTCCCTCCGCAGAGATGCGATGTCCCAGGAAGTCCACTTTGTCTAGATCAAAGGCGCACTTTTCTAGCTTAGCATAGAGTCCATGATCTCTCAGGCGCTGGAGCACTGCACGCACTTGTTGCGCGTGATCACGTGGATTCGTGGAGTAGATCAAAAAGTCGTCCAGGTAAATGACCAAAAACCGGTCCAAAAAGTCACGAAAGATATCGTTGACAAAGTGCTGGAACGTGGCTGGAGCGTTACAGAGCCCGAAACTCATGACCATGTATTCGAAACTTTCGAAACGGGTCTGGAAGGCTGTCTTCCACTCGTCCCCTTCCCGGATATGCACCAAGTTGTAGGCCCCCCTTAGGTCTAATTTGGTGAAAATTTGGGCCCCTCGCAAACGGTTGAGAAGCTCCGGGATGAGGGGAAGCGGATAACGGTTCTTGATCGTGATGTTGTTCAACGCCCGATAGTCGTTGCAAAGCCGCAACTCCCCTGACTTTTTCTTGACAAACAAAACTGGGGCCCCAGCCGGCGACTGTGAGGGACGAATGAACCCCTTGCGTAGGTTAGTATCTAAAAACTCCCGGAGAGCCGCCAACTCTGGTTCCGAGAGAGAATATAATCGCCCACGCGGAATCGGGGCGCCCGGGATCAAGTCAATAGCGCAGTCGTACGGCCGGTGTGGAGGAAGCCTTTCCGCCTCCTTCTCGCTGAAAACATCCCAGAAATCTTGGTATTTGGCGGGCAACTTGCCCGTGGCTTGTGCGGCGACCTCTGCGGTTTGACACTTCCGCTCCCCGCCGCAATGTTCTTTGCAAGAGGCCAAAGTGAACTGTAGTCTTTTCTGAGCCCACCAAATGGTCGGGTTGTGCTTGGCCAGCCATGGAATTCCCAACACCATGGCATGTGGAAGGTCCGTGACCAAAAAGGAGACCTCTTCCACATGGTCCCCGACTTTCATCAGCACGGGCGCTGTATAGCGAGCCACCGGCCCGGCTTTCAGCAAACGCCCATCAAAGTTTTGTACATCCCGGGGAGGCTGGAGGTCTAAGCATTGTAATCCAAGGAACTCCACAAACCGTCTGTCCATGAAATTGTTCGTGGCCCCACAGTCGACCAGCGCGTGCACCTCCGTGGGAGTCTTTTGGGCCACACAAAACGAAACCAAGAGGAAAAACAGCATCCCAGTCGCGGGCTCCGGAAACGGGGTGGAGACCGAGTTTGCGAGCCCATCTAAACTCGGTCGTTGCCTTCCCCCGCCGGCTGTTTGGCCCCCTGCTCACCGGATACCTGGGCCTGGGGCGCCACGGGCTCCACAGAGCCGGAGACCCCCGCCAAGCGGGGGCTTGTCTTCTTCTTCACAGGGCACTCCCGAGAGAAATGCCCGCTGCCCCCACAATACCAACACAGGTTTAGCCGTTGCCGTCGCGCCTTTTCCGCCGCATCAATTTTGGGGCGCATGGAGCCCAGCTGCATGGGTTCCTCT